GACAACATAGTAAATATAAATTTGGATTTACATGTGTAGTGAATACCTAACACCATATGATATTTAACTTTAATTGGAATTATAAAATATACATTATTAATATAACAAAAGTCGATGTCAAAAAATCGTATAATTTAGAACTATTTAGTACTGGTAGGGTATTTTTGTCACACCCTACCCCATCATTTCTGTATAACAATATAACCACTTATGATAACCAACAAAATGGAAGAAAATATAGAAATAAAATTGTACCATAAATGGCATTGGATGCTTACAATAAATAAAAATATTGTACCTGAATCACTTTAGTTATGTTGCCAATTACCAGCCCCACCAACTGTTGAGCAGAGTAAGAGGGAAGGACAGTAGAGTTTTTCTCAAAGAGAAATGAGTAATCATTGTTTCCAACACTAAACGAGTAAACAGCTCTTGAGAGCAGAACTTTGGCCTTCTTGTCCCCAAGTTTCTGACTCAGCAACCGGCTAACATTCTTGAAATAACCAAGCTGAGTTTTAAGGTCTATCACCTAAAATAAATGTCACAAAAAAAGTGTGTTAAATTTGATCTCTTTATTAGTTATTCATGAAGTCATAATTATAATATTTTGTGCATATAAGCAGCGACACAAGTTAAAAGAAATTATTTTTACACAATCTCTAGGGCTCGTTCATTTCACCGATTCGAGTTTAGAATTCGAGTTTTGTTACAGTAAAAAGCTCTCAGAAACAGTCAGATCTAACATTTTTGCTACAATAAAAAGCTCTCACATAAAGTCACATCTCAACTCAAATTAAAAACTCGAATCAGCGAACTAAATAGGCCCTAATTGTCACATACTAATCCTTGGCGAGTTTCGAGCAGAGCACCAGCCCCAGCAGAAGCAAAGTTCACCCCATAAGTATATTCATGATTTCCCGGCTGTAAATATGGTGGAATGTACGGCAACTTCGCGTATTCGGCTGCATTAATAACGATTTATTAACAGTTAGTTAAGGCCTTAATGATACTGTGATAATTCAGATACTTAAATAGAAATTAGATTAATCTTACTTACCAATAAAATCAGGAACAAGTCGGCCATCGGAAAATCTGCCAGTTGGGTGCTTAAAGAAGGTTTCACCATATGGAAAATAGTTTGCCTTAGAAGTAGTGTTTATATAGTTATTGTTTCCAGAATCAAAAAATGAATCACCGAAGATGAAAAGGCTTGTTGAGGGATCATGATCGCAACATTCGGTTGGAATAACAAGTCTAATTATAGTTGCATACAAAAATATAAAGACAAAGCCCCATTTTGCCATGAGTGACCTCTTTCAATATTGTGATACTTTTGATGTCGGATATAAATTTATATAGTGTTTGATTCTTCAGTACAGTGAAAAGAAAGCAAGGGAAAGAAAAGTAATAACTTCAACGCCTTTCTTGATCTTCTCTTAGTCGCCATTTAGGAAAGTTAATTCGTCCCGAGTAACCAATTAGCTTAAACATCGTATGCAAATGGTAAACTGTTTCTATTTTTTTTACTTTTGATTATTTGAAATAAAGTACAAATGTTTGAAGACTTTTTCACTTTTGACCAAAAACATAATTTTCTTTTTATGTTCTAAAGCGATACAGCGAGCACTAGTCAATATAAGCTCACTGATGACGCAGAAAAGTGTAAGGACAACAAATGAAAAGGGAAAACCACAGCGAAGTGAAACGAAACCAGATTAGAAGACTCTAAGGGGGTGTTTAGTTCGTTGATTCGAGTTTTTAATTCGAATTGAGATGTGATTTTATGTGAGAGCTTTTTACTGTAGCAAAAAAGTTAAAAGCGATTGTTTGTGAGAGCTTTTTACTGTAGCAAAACTCGAATTCTAAACTCGAATCAGCGAAATGAACGGAGCCTAAAACTAAGAGACAAAGTGACAAACGATAGAAATTGAATAACAATCAACGTGAAAAATCAAAATAAATTTACAGCACCAAAATTGAAAACCGAGAGCATAATGACAAACCACTTCATCTGGAAATGACACTAATATTTCTTCGACCAGAGAAACTACAGAAAACACACGTATAGTTGCTATAAGCGTAAGCCAAATGGGGACATTCATGGTAAAAAAAAATGCACGTGGAATGCCAACTTGGCATATAAAAACGTCCGAAATTTGAATTCTGAATTTACAAGAAAAAATCGTGTGAATCTCAGCTTTTGACAATAAGATATATGGTTTTGTTGCTATGATCCTTATTAGCAAGAAAAAAAAAATTTACTTATTCAAGTGGCTTAAAATTGAGATGAGACGTTCAGATCACATAAAAGTTATCATCCAGCTGTCGCCCATCTATATGTCTAACATTTGCGGTCCCCATCAAGATGAAAGTACAACATATAACAAGCACTCCTATATATCCTTATGAGAATAAAACCATATTACTCACATAAAAGGGGACCCACTAGATGGATAGATCTCATTTTCCATCACATATACTTGCTTATTGTAGATTGGTATGTAACCAGTCCATTCAGCACCAAAAAGAAAAAAAGAAAAAAAAAATTAAATGCAAAGAGTGCTTTGTGATTGTAAGGTGTTGCGAAACTCTTCTAAATCCTTTCTCTAAATTCACCAAAAGCTTAATGAACTTGTATGGCAGCGAGGCTCAAGTTGACCTGTTGTCCTTGAAGAGTTGCAAACATATTTATTGAGGACAAGGGAAAAAATAAATTGTTAAAAGACCATAAAATGAATAGACAGAGACAAGTAATTACGATTTATTTATTTATTTTTTCCTTTTTATGCATCAGCATGATGGGTCTTTTCACTCATAACATACATATTGGCTATTGCTGACAAGATCAAATCTACGTGACTTTTCTAAAGTTCAAACAATGCTTTGAGATTGAATGGCTCTGTGATATCAGAATTACCACTCCACATTAGCTTCGCAAATTGCTTGTAGGCTTTCTCGGTCGGATGATAAGAGTCAAAGAAGAAGTAATCATTCACATCATCACACAACTCAAATTCTTTCACTCCTCTTTTCCCTCCACAGCTATAAACTCCTCTGTAAAGACCGCTCCCACAACATCCTAGGTCTGCTTCCTTAAAACCTTCACAAACCAATCAAATTAGAATTTTTATGAGAAAAGTCCCTGAAGTAAAAAGGTTTGAATTGTAGTTCAGACAGATGAAACAAATAGGCCAATTATTGTTTATTCCAATATTTACCGTATTTTGAGGGGTTCTCCGATCTTCTACTAAAAGAAGCGTACAAATCGTGCTTTGAATATATGAAACCTTTGAGCTGACTCTGTATTGCTTGAAGCGCTTTAGGAAGTTCTCTGTTGTGCAGTTTCATCAGCGAAGTAACTTCTTCAAAGCAGGAACCTTTATTTCCTTGTTCAAGAATTTTAGTCCCTGGAAGACAACCCAAAGGTAGCAAACTCCCAAACCCAAATTTTCTTCCTCCAATTTTGTATATTTCCTGATCACCCATCAACTAGCATAGAGAAATCGCAACTTAAAATGAACAAAAAAGAAAAAGAAAAGAAGAAAAAAATTGAAATATAACAATCTATTATTACTTAGATAACTGGGTCAATTTGCCAAGCACCATGCCGACGTATTCTTTCTTAGAACATTTGTCATATAAACTGGAGTTAAACGTGAAAGGGGAAAGATAATCATTGCCTCCCACATTGAATAAGTAAACAGCTGAAGATATCAATTCCTTAGCTTCTCGGACACCAAGTTTGCTCCTTATCTGCTTTTCCACTTTCTTGAAATAACTCAGTTGAGTGTCAAGGTCTACCACCTAAAACCCAAAAACGACAACAAGCTTCTAGAGTTAAAACGTAACTCAATTTGCAGAGTAACATTTTTTGCTAACAAAATGAAAGAGATCACTTACAAAACCTTGATGACTTTGAACAAGAGCACCGGCAGAAGCAAAGTTCACCCCACATTCATTGTTGTGAACTCCGGGCTTTAAATACGGTGGAATCAAACATACTCACCTATAGTTAAAAAAAAAAAAAAAAAAAAAAACGCTTATAAAGATGTCAATAATCTAAACAACGCAGTTGTTAAAAGAAAGTTATAATATCCATTTATCTTACTTATAAAATCAGGAATTAGGGGGCCATCGGAGAATCTTCCGGTGGAAAAACCGAAAAATGTTTCCCCGTGTTGGGTATGTGGCTTTAATTAAGCCCATGAAGCTTTGTTTTTGGTTTGGGCCCAAGTCCCTTGTCTCTCCCATTGGCATTAGGTGTCGTTGCTTTGTTTTGTGAAGCCTCTCTCATTAACTTAGCTTGCCGACTAAGTTTTGAAAGAATATATAAATATGCTTACGGACGTGAGAGAAGGTATAGAGCCGCATAACAGCCGCAAGAGTGATTTGTTTTCCCCATTGATACACAACTCTCTTTTTTTTTTTAGTGTAAGAATATTTGGCCATAGAATTATTCTTTGACAGTTAGAATTCTTATTTGGGTTGAGAGATTTTAAGTGTATTTGAGATTTAGGTAATGAGAGATTTTTGATAGACTTTTGTAATCTCTTTTAGTTATAAAGGAATTTCTTTACCGTTTCTGTTCGTGGATGTAGGCCAAAAGCCGAACTATGTTAAATATTTGTGTCTCTTAGATTTTTCTTCTTAGATCTGATGTTACGTCTGATGTTTCAGATGATGTTAGAACACTACTGACTTTCTTATTATTCAGATTAATTACTAAGGAAAGACAATAATGCAGAAATAAAATGCACACGATATGATATCGCAGTTCGGTGTGCACACCTACTCTGCGGGGCCACGCCCGATAATAAACAGTTCACTATGTTCTAGAAATTACAGACACCGGACGGACTTATTACTTAAGGACTCTCTCCTAGACAATGACGCCGTGATGAATCTCCACAGTAATTGTTTAGCGTGCACCACACGTCTTCTATTCACCTGAACGAACTCTCTTCGACTAGCAAAGCTTCCTCCCGAAAGCAACAAATCTCTCTCCCGAAGGACGATCTCAATAACTCATAAAAACTCACAGACGTCTCTCTGAATATTTTCTCAATAATAAGCTCTCAAATTCACAGACTTTTCCTTTGAAGATATTCTCTTAAATTCATGTTCCACCTGAGCAACCTTGAGGCCTTTTCAATTATATAGCTTCTAAAACTCCCCTTCTTTCACGTTAATCACATACCCCATAACAAATCTCCTAATCCAACTAGATAGCTTATTCAAATTTTCTCTACGATATTCTCCAAGTAATATGCATGCTATCTTATCTACACAGACAAATTTGCTTCATTATCTCCACGTGCACAATATCTTCACAATGGCTTAGTTATCACATTGGCTCCATATTTATCACCTCACCTAAATTCTAAGTGCTAATATATATATATATATATATTCAAAGATGTTGCCTTTGAAGTATATCTCGTAGTGACCCAATTGAACCAAACCAATGCACTCGGGTAATACATCTCCTTTTCAAATCCGAATCACTCCTTTAAAATAGCAACTTAATCTCCACATTATCTCTTTCTAGAATCCCATTTAAATTCAAATAACCAATGCCTTATCTTTATCTCTCCAAATCTCAACCAATGTATTATCTTCTTTTGACCAAGCCTTTATCCTTATCTCTTTAAATCTCAACTCAACAAAATCTGCAACTTTAACTTCAAATCTGATTCGAATTCTTCTTCTGCAATCTGAAATCTTCTTGAACCTATTTTTTGAATTTTTACAAGATTGTCAATAAAGTGCCAACAAATAAAAATACCTAACATTTCTATTATTCATATTTTGTCTTGAATCTGCTTAGTTTAACGTTTTGCACAACACCCCGTAAAGTCAGAAATTTACTTGGTACTCGGTGATGGTGTTAATGTAGTTGTTGTTTACCGGATCATACAATGAGTCAACAAACACGAAGAGCGCCACGTGTTTTTCCAGTGGCTTGAAGTGGGCGGCGCAGAAGATGACGGTGGTGAGGATGATCATATAAACAGCCTGCGGATACATGCCGTATCCTTATCCTGATTGCCATATCCTTATCCTGATTGCCTACTTTTTAGCTCTCGTCTTTTCATCAGCTTGAAACGCTCTTTATAAGGGTCTTGGATGGTTTAGCTTCAAGTGGAGAAAAGCCAACAGCCGAGTCCATTTGGACGATTTTGAGACGAAACCAGATACTGCCTATCTGTCGGTTTTAATTCATGTAGAAATCAACTTTTGTGTTTAAAGAAATATGAAATTGGTTTTTTATAATTTTAAAATGTGTGTAATATATGTGTGTATATATGTAGACACACCATATGTGTGTATATATGTAGACACACCATTCTTTTACAGTATGTTTGGTAGGAAAGAAAAGTAGAAAGAATGAAGAAAGTGGAGAGATTTTGGGAGAGAAAATGGAAATGTAAGTTGTTTGGTTGGAGAGAAAAGAGAAAGGAAGAGAAAATATAGTGGAAAATAATACATGTGGGTCCTATTATTTTTCTTCTTTCCACAAGTGGGCAGAAAATAGAATGAAAAAGGGGACAACTAATTAAAGTGAGCAAAGCTACTAAACTACTCTTTTCTCTATCAACATCCAAGCAAAAAATTTAAGGGTATAAAAGTAATTTACAAGTAAGATTTTCTCTTTCCTCCCAATTTAACTTCCAATACCAAACAAGTGAATGTAAACTCATTTTCTTTCCATCTTCTTATACCAAACAACATAAAAGAAAATCAATTTCCTTTCCATCATTGCTATTTTTCATCACTTCTATATTTTCTTTCTATCATATTTTCTTTCCTTCCTACCAAATATTGCTTTTCATGGTGTTTATTTTATTAATTATTATGCTTTTCGTTTATTAATTATGTTTTTTTTTATTTTTTTTTATAAATCTTGGTTTTGGTTTTGGTTCAGCTTATCATCTGAACACATTTTTTGGTTCTTTGTAAATCCTAGATTTGCATCTATCAGAACTCAATTGTGTTTACTCATGTAGCTCTGTCTGTAAATCTTAGATTTATCATGTTAATTTATGATTTACCATCACAATTCAGCTTGTGTTTTTTTTTCGTAAATCTTGGTTCGGGTTTTGGTTTAGCTTATCATCCGAACACATTTTTTGGTTCTTTGTAAATCCTATATTTACATCCATCAGAACTCAATTGTGTTTACTCATAAATTCTGGATTTAAAGTGTAAATTCAGGATTTATAAAAAAAATATATTATATTATTATACTTGTAAATTATTGATTTAAAATGTGTGTGGCCTATCTCACCGTTAGTTCTTTAAATATTGACCGATAAGTAAAGCTAAATGACGAGGGAAAAAAGAAAGAATATATGCATTTGTTTTTGAAGAAAGAAGAAGGAAAAGATAAGAAAGAGGAAAAAGAAAAAGGAGGTGAGAAAGTAAAGAGAGAGTGTGATGAATAGAATAATATGGATACGACAGAGAAATTATGTAAGATGTTATGAAACCACTATTAGATTCCCCAGCTGCACTAGATTTCTGGATGTGATGAGAGAGAGATGAATAGAGTGAGGAGAGAGAAAGCTTAAGCCAGAGTTGAGAGGAGAAAGCAAAATAAGGGGAGAGAGTGCATTCGTATTTTTTTTTATAAAAAATTCTCATCAATAAATTCCCTTAAAAATTTAAATTTAAAATCAAAATCACTAATTTAAACATGTAAACTAAATAACTGATTAGCTATTCTAGTTTCTAAAACTCGTTCCACCGAAAACTTTACAGCCATCAGTTTGCAAAGCGAGCATGGATCGTAAAGCCCAGTGATCACATGTATTATTCATTGAAAAATAGTTGAAAATAGGCCAATATGAAAAACTTAAGAAAGTATATAGGCCAATTTTTAGTTATAAAAATTAATAGGTCATAACTTGTCAAGTTATGGTTCATAACGAGATAAATTATGGACAAACTTATCAAGTTATGATTCATAGCCAGACAAGTTATGAATAAAAACCGTGAATTATAGACAATAACTTGTCAAGTTATGGTTCATAACCATACAAGTTATGGACAAAAACAATAATTTAACCTATTTATTAACTTATGTAAACTATTAACCTATTAATTTTAATTAATTTTAAGTCTTGACCTATTTTCCTCTTTCTTCCTTATTCATTTTTACAAATATAATTTATAAACTATACACGTGACCAAAAGGTCAAGCAACTGAGTAAAGCTTTTAAAAAAGTTAGCGCCTGCAAACGAATATTATTGCTTCAATTATTAGTTACTGTGGGTAATGGCTAATTAAAGTGACGTTTCTGAATTTAAAATTATAATTTATGATTTTAATTTTTAAAATTTAAATTTTTTTATAAAAAAACATTAATAAATTATGAATTATAATTTTAAATTAAATTAAAACTCTTAAAATAAATAGAATATAAATACGTAATATATAATTACTCTTAAATATTTAAAGATCAAAATTTTTACCATTTATTTTTAATTTAAATTCTTTTTAATTAAATAATTATATTAATAAAAAATATTTATTAAAAATAAAATATAAAAATCTAACTCCTGTATTTTTAACGATAAATTCTAAAATTTTCTCGAGAAAAAAGTATACATGAGTTCTATTGGTCGACTTTGATGATACGTACATAGATGAGCCCACATTGTGTTCCTTTCAGAAAAAGCTAATCTTTCAATTGTCCTCCTGTCTTCTTACGTAGCATGTGGCTACATTAATGAAACGTCACAGTAGCACATGTCTCAAAATTAAAACTTTTCGTGGTTAGAAAAAAAACCAAAAAAAAAAAAAAAAAACTTTTCTAGAATTTGTTTGGTATTAATTATAGAGGAGATTTTCTGATACTCACGACGTATCGGTGTGTCAGATTTTTTAACCGTTTAATTTGTATATTTGTATATTTTTATGTAATTTTATATAGATCTGAAGAATGAAAAATTTAATCTATCGGTATGTTGACGTATCAAAAAAGATTCCTAATTATAGTAGTACGTTTGTTTTTTGTATTCGTCTCTGATTCTGAATCATGATTCATGATTCTCTACAGTGTTTTTCTCTCACAAAAAATACACGTAAAATGAAAATAATTCTAAATCATGATTCTGAATCTATAGACCAAACGTCCTACTAGAGTTTTTGGGGTGCAGAGGACGATGGTTTTGGACTGGTAATGAGAACCTTTTGGAATTGGAGGATTATTTTAGAGTCTCTCCCTCTTAGAATTTTAATTTTTGTTTATTAACAAAATTAGGGGTATTAGCTCTATTAGTGCATGAACTATAAGCATTCTCTAAGTTAACAAATTTCAGTTATTACTATGAGATACAGAGGTGATTATGTTTGTTAAATTTAAATATCATAGATTATAAAACTGTTAAAAAAAACCAAATTTCAATGAGTGATTTATCAAGAAAAAGAAGTTGATCGAGGACCAAACTGACATAAAACTCATAATTAAGGGATTAATGATGCTAATAACCCTTATAATTATTATGTCAGAGTTAATTAACTAAAAGGGTAACTACGTGTATTTCTTATTCCAAAAAAAATATAAGAATCATGCCTCAAATTATCTGGACACAATATAGAAATATAAAGCACTAATCTCATATTTAAAAACACAAAATTTAGACGATATTTAGTTAATTGATTCAGAATTATGGTTGATGATACTATAATCTTACCTCTATTATTTCTTTCTTGTCTCATATTCATAAATGAGAGGTAGTTAGCTAGGAAGTATCTGCTGGCGTCTTAAAACCATCAGAAGCAAGATGAGCAGAAAAGTACTAAATCAGACTGAGGACATGGCTATTACTGTGAGGTTTCCCGGCTTGTATATCATGCTGATAAACACGGTAATCATCGGCATCGGCGGCGCTCATGAGTTCAGGTCACCAGAAAAACATGTGGCGCTCTTCGTGTTCGGCGACTCACGTTTTGATCCGGGAAACAACAACTACATCAACACCGCCACCGAGTACCAAGCAAATTTCTGGCCTTATGGGGAAACATTTTTCGGTTTTCCCACTGGAAGATTCTCCGATGGCCGCCTAATTCCTGATTTTATATGTGAGACATAAATCCTATTATAATTCAAGATATATGTAAGTCATGTTTACTTAACAACTGGGTTGTTTAGATTATTGACACCTTTATAAATGCATTCTAATTGTAGGTGAGTATGCAAAATTACCATTGATTCCACCGTACTTAAAGCCTGGGGTTCACAACTATGAATATGGGGTGAACTTTGCTTCTGGTGGGGCTGGTGCTCTTATTGAAACTCATCAAGGTTTTGTAAGTGATCTTTGTCATAATTAACTCCAATGTATTCTATTAGTAAAATGATACCCTGCGTATCAAGTGTTTTAACTCAAGAAACTTCTTGTCATTTTTGGGTTTTAGGTGGTTGACCTTCAAACTCAGCTGAGTTATTTCAAGAATGTGGTGAAGCAGTTAAGGAGCAAACTCGGTGACCAAGAAGCTAAAGAATTGATATCTTCGGCTGTTTACTTCTTTAGTGTGGGAGGCAATGATTATCTTTCCCCTTTCACGTCTGACTCTAGTTTCTTTGACAAGTATTCTAAGAAGGAATACGTTGGCATAGTGCTTGGCAATTTGACCCAAGTTATTGAAGTAATACATGATAGATTGCATGCTATATGTATTTCAATTCTTTTTTTGGTCCATTTAATTTGTGATTTTTCTTATATGTGCAAGTTTGATGGGTGGTCAGGGAATATACAAAATAGGAGGAAGGAAATTTGGGTTCTTAAATATGACACCTTTGGGTTGTCTTCCGGCGGTTAAAATTGTTCAACCGGGAAATACTGGTTCTTGCGTTGAAGAACTTAATTCACTGGCGAAACTGCACAACAGAGAACTTCCTAAAGTCCTCCAACTGATTCAGAGGCAGCTCAAAGGTTTCATCTATTCAGAGCACGATTTTTATACTTCTTTTGGTGAAATATTGGAGAACCCATTAAAATATGGTAAGATTGGGCTATGTTACAATTATATTGTGAGCAATGATATTGGGCACTCGACCACTTACTAATAGAATGTGGATCTGCAGCGTGAGGTCCACATATAGGGCTCACCTCTTATTAGTGGCGGTATTTAGTACTGGTGGTGTCCCCGAGCATATTTCTTATATTGTAGTACTAATAATTTATCTTCTTGTGAGTAAAAACAATTTATGTTGTTGGTGGTTTTGTGAAGGTTTTAAGGAAGTGAACGTGGCATGTTGTGGGACCGGTCCTTCCAGAGGAGTTTTTAGCTGCGGAGGGAATAGAGAAGTGAAAGAGTTTGAATTGTGTAATAATGCGAGTGATTTCTTATTTTTTGACTCTCTTCATCCGACCGAGAAAGCCTACAAACAAGTTGCAGAACTCATCTGGAGTGGTGAGTCTGATATCGGACACACAGAGCCTTTTAATCTCAAAGCGTTATTTGAACTTGAGAAAAGTCGTGTAGATTTTGGCATTAAAAAGACTACAAGTAATCAACGAGCTAATGCGTATATGAAGCTTCGATCAATATTTTAGAATTTGTCTATTTATTTCGTGCTTTGGTTTTTCTGATTTCCATAAATATTGTGTGTTTTTTTCTCCTAGTGCAAACGACATGTAGCCTCTCTTCAAAGAATATTTGGCCATAGAATTATTCTTGGACAGTTAGAATTCTTACTTTGGGTTGAAAGATTTTAAGTGTTTTTAAGATTTGGGTAGTGAGAGATTTTTGATAGACTTTTGTAATCTCTTTTAGTTATAAAAGAATTTCTTTACCGTTTATATTCGTGAATTCTATTCGTAGATGTAGGCCAAAAGCCGAACTATGTTAAATATTTGTGTCTCTTAAATTTTTCTATTATTCATATTTTATTTTGAATCTGTTTAATTTAACGTCTTGCACAATACCCCGTAAAGCCAGAAATTTGCTTGGTACTCGGTGATGGTGTTAATGTAGTTGTTGTTTCCCGGATCATATAATGAGTCAACAAACACGAAGAGCGCCACGTGTTTTTCCGGTGGCTTGAAGTGGGCGGCGCAGAAGATGACGGTGGTGAGGATGATCATATAAACAGCCTGCGGATACATGCCGTATCCTTATCCTGATTGCCATATCCTTATCCTGATTGCCTGCTTTTTAGCTCTCGTCTTTTCATCAGCTTGAAACGCTCTTTATAAGGGTCTTGGATGGTTTAGCTTCAAGTGGACAAAAGCCAACAGCCGAGTCCATTTGGACGGTTTTGAGACGAAACCAGATACTACCTATCTGTCGGTTTTAATTCATGTAGAAATCAACTTTTGTGTTTTAAGAAATATGAAATTGGTTTTTTATAATTTTAAAATGTGTGTAATATATGTGTGTATATATCTAGACACACCATTCTTTCAGAGAGACCTTCCTTATAACGTAATATTATAGATATTTAACATAATACAAATATTTTTTAACATAACATGACAAAATTGTGATATCGTGTTATGGGGAAAATGCATATTGCTTGGCCCACCACTCAGCAAATAAGGAGTGAGTCCTACATTGTGAGATTTATTTATTACCGAAAGTTCATATATATATATATACACACACACACACACACACACACACGTATTAAGTTTATTATTATTTATCTTCACATTAGGAAATTTAAAGATTTGATAATTTAGGTAACTTATTTTGCGTTTATATGAAGTCAGTCTATAGTTCCCTATTTTTTACTAGTTCATAGATGCAGTATATTGCCACTTTTTCTTTTAGTCTTATCTTTTCTCTTTATTAGATGTAGGTGAATCTATGCGTTTATATTAGATGTAGGTGAGTATCTACAAAATTTAGTGGGTAAAGTGTCTTTCGGGTTGTTGGCAGTCAAGAAACGTATCACTTATAATGTGGACATTCTCTCTGCATATGGAACGAAATTTCCTCGCTATATATATATATATATTTATCAAAAATCAATCGTCTTATGTTGGTAAGTTCCACCATTCTAATTTCTATATGAGAATGCCAGAGCCAATGGACATACTTCAACATTAAAATAAGCAATTACTCAACAAAAATAAGAGAGAGAGGGATTAAAACAATTCAACAAACAAAATAGAACATGCGACCAACCTAGACCCCGTTACTAAACACACATTGAATTACGTTTTCCACCTGATCCTACTTGTGAACTTTCGGATTGGTTGTCTTGTGAAGTAATGAGTGGGCCAATCTCAGGCGTTGAGACAAAGGGGGCCTAAAATTAATGTTAAATAAGCAATAAGGGATACGAAAAAATAAAACGCACATAAAGTTTTATGCCTCGTTTATTTCACTCATTCGAGTTTTGCTACAGTAAAAAGCTCTCAGAATCAGTCACATTTAACTTTTTGCTACAGTAAAAAGTTCTCACACAACATCACATCTCAACTCGAATTAGCGAACTGAACATGCCATTAATTTATAAAATATAATTATTTTGTTGGTATCATGGCTTGATCAGGATCATGATTAATCTCCAACAACAAAGTGAGGTATTGGCTCCGTTTGGTAATGCTTTTGGGAAGCCAAAAGCACCTTTTTTTTTTTTAGCTAAAGCTCAAAAATGTGTTTGGTAAACACATAAAACTAGATTCTTAAAGAAGTCAGAAGCTATTTTTCATTTGAAATCAGAAGCAGCTCACTTGCTGCTTCTAATTTCAGATTGTGCGGGAATCTGAAGGAAGACATTAATGAAATTTTGGTTATTCCCAAAATAACCCATCCTCTTCGTCGTCCTCGTGCACACATCTCCTCAGCCCCTCTCTGAAACTCTCCGCCTCTCAACCTCCGCTCGTGCTCTCTCGCCTCAGCCTCTCAGCCTCCTCTCGTGCTCTCTCGCCTCACCCTCCCTCAGCCTCAACCCGAGGCTCTCTCAGCCAAAGCTCTCTCCCTCCGTTTATTTTTCTTCTCTCTCCCGGACTCCCTCTCTCCGTTTATCTCCTGCGATTGTCGGCGGCGGAGTCCCCAAAATCTCAGTTCATCGCTGGCTGAGACCGGCGGATCTGGTTGGAGCTCGCAATCTCTGCATTTGTAAGTGCTCGATTGAACCTTTTTTTTAATGTCGATTTGGTACGGCTTGATGAAATTTGGGTTTTGAATGTCGATTTGGTGTTGGTGGTTTCGAATGTCGATTTGGGTTTCCAGATTTTGTACAAACGTCCTACTAGATGTAAAAAATAGATGTAGGTGAGTATTACAAATGCAGAATCATGATTTAGAACTATTTTCATTTTACGTGTATTTTTTGTGAGAGAAAAACACTGTAGAGAATCATGAATCATAATTCAGAATCAGAGACGAATACAAGAAACAAACGTACTGCTATAATTAGGAATCTTTTTTGATACGTCAACATACCGATAGATTAAATTTTTCATTCTTCAGATCTATATAAAATTACATAAAAATAAAAAAATATACAAATTAAACGGTTAAAAAATCTGACGTACCGATACGTCGTGAGTATCAGAAAATCTCCTCAATAATTAATACCAAACAAATTCTAGAAAAGTTTTTTTTTTTTTTTTTTGGTTTTTTTTCTAACCACGAAAAGTTTTAATTTTGAGACATGTGCTACTGTGACGTTTCATTAATGTAGCCACATGCTACGTAAGAAGACAGGAGGACAATTGAAAGATTAGCTTTTTCTGAAAGGAACACAATGTGGGCTCATCTATGTACGTATCATCAAAGTCGACCAATAGAACTCATGTATACTTTTTTCTCGAGAAAATTTTAGAATTTATCGTTAAAAATACAGGAGTTAGATTTTTATATTTTATTTTTAATAAATATTTTTTATTAATATAATTATTTAATTAAAAAGAATTTAAATTAAAAATAAATGGTAAAAATTTTGATCTTTAAATATTTAAGAGTAATTATATATTACGTATTTATATTCTATTTATTTTAAGAGTTTTAATTTAATTTAAAATTATAATTCATAATTTATTAATGTTTTTTTATAAAAAAATTTAAATTTTAAAAATTAAAATCATAAATTATAATTTTAAATTCAGAAATGTCACTTCAATTAGCCATTACCCACAGTAACTAATAATTGAAGCAATAATATTCGTTTGCAGGCGCTAACTTTTTTAAAAGCTTTACTCAGTTGCTTGACCTTTTGGTCACGTGTATAGTTTATAAATTATATTTGTAAAAATGAATAAGGAAGAAAGAGGAAAATAGGTCAAGACTTGAAATTAATTAAAATTAATAGGCTAATAGTTTACATAAGTTAATAAATAGGTTAAATTATTGTTTTTGTCCATAACTTGTATGGTTATGAACCATAACTTGACAAGTTATTGTCTATAATTCACGGTTTTTATCCATAACTTGTCTGGCTATGAACCATAACTTGATAAGTTTGTCCATAATTTATCTCGTTATGAACCATAACTTGACAAGTTATGACATATTAATTTTTATAACTAAAAATTGGCCTATATACTTTCTTAAGCTTTTCATATTGGCCTATTTTCAACTATTTTCCAATGAATAATACATGTGATCACTGGGCTTTACGATCCATGCTCGCTTTGCAAACTGCTGGCTGTAAAGTTTTCGGTGGAACGAGTTTTAGAAACTAGAATAGCTAATCAGTTATTTAGTTTACGTGTTTAAATTAGTGATTTTGATTTTAAATTTAAATTTTTAAGGGAATTTATTGATGAGAATTTTTTATAAAAAAAAATACGAATGCACTCTCTCCCCTTATTTTGCTTTCTCCTCTCAACTCTGGCTCAAGCTTTCTCTCTCCTCACTCTATTCATCTCTCTCTCATCACATCCAGAAATCTAGTGCAGCTGGGGAATCTAATAGTGGTTTCATAACATCTTACATAATTTCTCTGTCGTATCCATATTATTCTATTCATCACACTCTCTCTTTACTTTCTCACCTCCTTTTTCTTTTTCCTCTTTCTTATCTTTTCCTTCTTCTTTCTTCAAAAACAAATGCATATATTCTTTCTTTTTTCCCTCGTCATTTAGCTTTACTTATCGGTCAATATTTAAAGAACTAACGGTGAGATAGGCCACACACATTTTAAATCAATAATTTACAAGTATAATAATATAATTTGTTTTTTTTATAAATCCTGAATTTACACTTTAAATCTAGAATTTATGAGTAAACACAATTGAGTTCTGATGGATGTAAATATAGGATTTACAAAGAACCAAAAAATGTGTTCGGATGATAAGCTAAACCAAAACCAGAACCAAGATTTACGAAAAAAAAAACACAAGCTGAATTGTGATGGTAAATCATAAATTAACATGATAAATCCAAGATTTACAGACAGAGCTACATGAGTAAACACAATTGAGTTCTGATAGATGCAAATCTAGGATTTACAAAGAACCAGAAAATGTGTTCAGATGATAAGCTGAACCAAAACTAAAACCAAGATTTATAAAAAAAAATAAAAAAAAAAACACACAAATTAAATTGTGATAGTAAATCCTAAATTAACATGATAAATCCTAGGTAGAGCTACAAAATGATTATATATTAATAAAGTTAATATAATTCACTAAACAAATTTATTTAGCCATATTACATCGCCGAAGATCGAAAGAAAGAACAATTGGCGATGTAAGAGCGAGTGTCGATGGGAGAAAGAAGAGCAGACCCACGAAAGAAATATATCGAGCGATAAAGTAGATTAAGAGATTAAGAGGGAAA